GTCAAGCTTCCACGCGAGAGAGGCTCTACGATAACTCGGCCAAGGATGTCACGCGGCTGCCCTTAAGTGCGGCGGTTGCGATCCGAGATCCCGACCTCGGCTATTTCCTGCTATCAGCCACACCATTTGAGCCGATTGCTCTAATATTCGATGCCCCGGAAGACGACTTCGTACCCGTTCAGTATACCTCGCCATCCTTAAGCCAAGATGCTGAAGTTCAACCCCTTGAATTCTTCGAGCCCCGCCCCGTCTACCAACCATCCCATACGTTCGACGAGAGTTCGACGCTCCCTGTGCTCATTGAAAGTCTCCGCACAAGTCGGTATAAGACTCACATGAACCAGGAAATTCGCCTGTCTCCGCTTACTCTACAGCTATTCACCGAGGCTCATAAGCTTCTTAGTGAGGACACACATAGACTTGGTGTTGCCGCTTCAGAGGTGTTTCGGCGTTGCCTGAAGCTCCAAGACGAACTGAGACAGCAAATTATAAAAGCGAACGAAATTAAGGCAAGAGTTGAGACCATCACAGGGGAAGATCAGAATGAACAGGGCGAGGAACCAGAGTCATCAAATGCCGACATTGAAAGACGGTTGCAGAATGCTAAAGAAAAGGGGGAAGCCCTGAGTCGGCGATTGGAGAAAATGAGAAAGACGGTCAATAAGGCCACTAGCCGGGAACTCAGCAAGAAAGAGCAGGAGTGGGTCAAGGAAGTCAAGACGCTTGATGCGGGCATATACGGATCGATGCACGCAGCGGATGGGCCCGGTCGGGCCAAGCAGTATATGGACAGGTACCAAAAGATTATGGAGCTGAAAACGGAACTTGCAGAAAATGCCCAAGCCCTGGAAATACCGGCTGGAGACGATGAGGAGAATTTGAGCCTCTCGAGGACCGATCTACGTATTCCGTCTGAGCTCAGGCGTGCAAAGGTCAGTCAGGTCAAGAATCTCCTCGAACGAGAGACAGCATTGGTCGAGGCGGTCAAGTCACGGCTAGAACGCTTATCTGTTGTTGGGTAGAGGGCACCAAAACCCTCAGGGTCTGTTCCGTCTACCCCGGTCGAAATGTATCATTGTAAAACGATAATCCCTCAGCACGAGTCCGGGATGATTGGTCATCGAGTTTGTTTGTACGTGTAAGGTCGGCAATTCTTTTCCAGGTGGTCAGCGCGAAATGTGGCGCTTTCTTACCGTATGCGTCGGTCGTACGGTGGTTCATGTACGCCATTCCTCAGCTGTAGAAAATGTTGTTATGACGCTCCTTTACCCATATGTGGCGTTGTGCGGGATGTAGTGCGGCCGAGAAGAACGGTAGCCAGCCATCTTGTAGCCTCGCTGCCCCCAACATTGGCATCCTGCTGGAATTCAAGAGACCTCCCGATTGCTCAAGCGCATGTCTAAGAGCAGATAAATGAGTCGCATAAAGAGACAAATATACTGTTATCATATCTGCTGTCGAGCTACTGCGCATCAGCATGTCACCCGTCCTCGTTTTTCACCAAGACCATTTTTCATCGGCGCTGTCGAAGGATGAAGGTAGAACTTACAGAATCCTCAGGGGGTACCCCATTAGCTACCTACGGAACCCCAACTGCGCGCCTCACTTTCGCTCCCCCCTAACGTCATAATATTCCTAGAGGTAAGCTAAATTACGCTGCGGCTCACTTGTTCTGCTAATCTTGCATCATGTCGCGTTCCGTAGAACCGAAAAAAAAGAGACATTTCTTTTTCTATTGCTCCCCATGTCTCAAAGGTGGACCATCCGATGAGGCTCATTGGCGATAGGCGTTCAACAAGCCAGCATTAAACTGCCACTTACACACCAATAAGCCGGTGGGGTTATGACCTCGGAGTATGTCGTGATGACCTACCTAGCCCTTGGGTCTGCCCATGGGGGCGGATAATCTTTGTGGAAAAACTTCTATAGCCTTATAGGTAGGTCTCATCCAAGTTTCAAGGATGTATTATCCGACCCGGCTAGGATCTAGACTGGGGCCTGGGTGAGGCGCGTCATACTTTATTGATCCCCGTCCTTCATGCTTCTATTTTCGAGGCTTTCGGAGCAACGTCTTAGAGGCTGGGCACGGTGAACCCCTTTGCGAGATGGATGTTAGCCTTGCTTGTCCCGTCGAGGGTCACCTGGCGCATGAAGTCAGAGTGTATATAAGCCCAGCCTCGGGGAGCTCTGATCATCGTAGTTGAAAGCATCCTCTTCGCCTCATGTCTTCTCGCCCTCGATGATCGTACACCTCCAAGATCCTCCCAATCTGACTTGCCCCCACCACCGCCTTGATCGTGCCATGACGACTCAATTGTCACCTCCGACGGCTCTATTCTTCGATGCTCGAACGCAAATTATCGGTTGGGCCCCCTCCTCTCCCCTCCCCTCCTTCTTCCTCGCTCATCTCACATAAGATCACGCCTCGTTCTAATTAGGGCGATTCCAGATAACTGCGAATTTCTCATGAGAAAAGATGACATAGTCCAAGTGGTTACCAGCAAAGATCCCGAGGGCGATCTGTTCAAAGCGTACGCGGTAAAGCTCAACGGCAAGGAGCGCCAGGTCATACTAGTGTCGAAACCATGCGAGAACGTCGAAAAGGCGGTAGAATGCCTGCACACGAGATCATGCGAGGCCGTCCATAACCACGTCACCGCCAAGGGCGTCCCGGGCTCGCGTGGTCCCAAGACGGAGCCCGGCGCGGACGACGCCGATAACGTCTCCGTCGTCTCCGACCACTCTGATCTGTCAGTCGCGGACTTTTCCGAAGGATGCAGTTCCGTCGATGACGACGAGACGCTACGGCACTTCCCGATCACGGAATCGGTCACCAAGGCCGAACAGCGAGCGTCCTTCTACCCGGCCGCAAACGCTTACCCTCGCCGACCGTCGGGGCCACCGGGCTTAACGGCCGCAGCGCGAGACCTCTCGGACTATGTTAAGCCAGCATCCCACGGCGGCCCACCACCGGGCTCCCGTCCACACCCGTCCACCTTCGGCCAGGCCATCCCACCACCGCTACCGCCGCCGCCCGGATACCCCTACGCGAACAACCAGCTACCGCCACTATTCACACAGGCCAACGCGGCAGTCCCGGCCCCGCACCCGGGCCCGCCGGGCCTGATGCCGCCGCGTCACGCGCAGAACTGTATAAACCCACCGATGCCCCCGCCCCAACCGTACCATCCCTTCCGCGGCGCGGTGCCGGATACGCAACCCCCGTTCGCAGTCCGGCAGACCGCGGCCCCGAAACCGCCACAGGCGCAGCTCGTGCGCATCACGGTGAACTGGCTGCGGCACGGCCAGCACCGCATCGTGACGCAGTGCGCGCCGACGCGCGAGGCGCTGCAGGCCGCGGCGCTGGGCGACGTGCGGGCGAACCGGGGGGCGTTCGCGGCGGCGCGCGGCGGCGGCGGCGAGCTGGCGCTGCGGGCGCATGTGCGGCAGGCGGTGTTCTCGGGCGAGACGTACGACATGCGCGCGTTCGCCGCGTCGGATCTCTCGCGGCTCTTCGTGGCCATGGCGGCTGCGGACGACGTGCCGCTTTTCGAGGTCGTTGTCGAGGATGGGGATGATGGGGCTGTTGATGCTTGGGTTGGTCGTCGGTGGGGGTGATTTTGTTTTTTTTTTTTTTTGGGCTTGGATTTCTTTGGTTCTGTCACGGGGTCCATATATACCTGTTATAACCGTACGGTCATTGACAGCATGCGTTTTTGTTTTCCGTCACAGGTTCTCTTTGGGGGGTGTCTTGTTGGGAGTCGTGGATTATATAGCTTTTCTTGACTTTTTGTTCTTTATTGTTATTCTTTAAACTCTTATTTCTGATTACTTTCTTTTCCCCTTGGGGAAGGGGGTTTGGAACCTCGTTGTTTTCCTTCCGACTCTCGCTGTGGGATTTTTTTCCTTGGTCACCTAGGTGGCTTTCCTGATTCCTTTTTTTTCTTTCTGGATCATCCTCACCTGCGCCGGTCGTTTCGTTGAGAAAGTCGTTTGGTCCTTTTCTTGTGTGCTTGTTTATGTGAAGCTTTAGCTCGGCAATTGTGTTCTCTCGCTTTTCTTCTCCTTGTCTTCTTATGGTCTGCTTATACTACTCCGTAGTCAATCCGAAATTACGTTTTATCCCCCCCTTGGAAACTGGTTTTCTATTGCCTATAGGTAGATCTGCGCATCGCGGTGTAATCGAGCGTAACGCAAACCTAGAAACGACATTCCACGGTCAATATCAGGCCAAAACCATACTTATAGTCTATCTGCCAAGTTAGCGAAATGCGACGTGATCCCCTGAATTCGATGCCTCCGGTACATATAGTATGCTCAAGCGATGAGGATATAGTTACGACGTATTCGATATACGAAGTATAGCCCTCCAAGTACCTACGGACTACCCCAGCGATACCTGAATACCCCCAGCCTGCCTACGGGCGTCACATCACCGAAAAATGGCATCCACAAGGCAAGGCGCTCCAATCCCGTTCGTCGCGCCACACCGATGCATCGCCGTTTCGGGGGCCTTGGACTGGGGCCCTTTTCGGCGGCTGCGCAATGGGCGAACCGAACCCCCAACGCCTTGCCAATGAAAAGTGCGCGTTCAGCCGAGTCGGAAGCTGCGTTAGTGCTGAGCTGAGAAATTCCGTGCAGCTCTGAGATAATACTCCTTTCTGGAGGGTAATATGACGCCCGACGTCCTGGTCTGGTATACCAGGTGCCGACGAGAGCCCCTTTTCTCCATGACTGCTATCGATACGAAGCCCAATCCACTGATTAGATTAGATTAGATCAGATCAAGTCTCGATCGTACTGAATAGGGGTAGAGCTTCGAACTTACGTAATGCAACCCGGTACAATTAAAGTACTCCGTCCCGCACAATCCACCTTTTGCTGCTCCAACCAACCGGAACAACCCTAAAATTCCTTTTTTTTTTTCCCTCCTTGACTGTGAATCCGGCCATCCGCTTCTACATAACGGGTGATTGCGCGGGTGGACAAATAACTAATCTGCCCGGTTAGCTCAATCGGTAGAGCGTGAGACTCTTAATCTCAAGGTTGCGGGTGAGTGCACAAACATTGCCCTGTGAGAAAAAAAGAGAGAAATATACTGACCGGCGACGTTATAGGTTCGACCCCCGCATCGGGCTCAATTCCTGATGCCTCCCAGCTTACTGGGAGTAGCAACCCTCCTTTTTTTTCCCTCTTTTTATTTTTTGTTGCCGTTTTTTGTTACTTCTTCTCATTAGTATTTTGGTTTTTCTGTTTTTCTTGTCTTTCCTAGATCTTCGTTTCCGTGCTCGTGGCACGGGAAAACGTGAAGTAATACGCGTCGTGTGTCTCGTGCTCACGTCGACGAACACTAAACTTACTATTAACATCCCAATTCAGGGGCGTTTTTCTTTTTTTCAAATGGCGCTCAAGGCATAAGCCCAATTGCCCAATGTAAAAGTATTTAGTATCACGAGCGAATCCGAAGACCGAGCCGGCGAATCCACGTCAGCTTCACAAAAAGGTCTCGAATGCGCGTATCTGGCGGGAACCTCGTATGTCAGCCTTGAATATTACCTTGCCGCGGCCTCGCGTTCTCCTGCCGTGGCTGGGCTGGGCTGGGCTGGGCCGGCACGTGCGGCCGCAGAACGGGAAATAGTAAGTCAAGATGGGGTAGTCTTGTTTGCATTCACCTCTGTCTGAGGAATGGCGACAAACATGGCTATAACTGCCAGCCTGATCGGTCCGCCAGGCATCCCAAGCGACCGACCGTGGTTGTGGCCAGTTAAGATCCGATAGCCCGCCGGAGCCCGTGAACGCTCGGCTGTGGTAAGCCACGAAGCTGTTCGCCGGGCAAGTTGCCAGGCGCACAACGTTCATTAATATATGATGAGCACGTCGAATGGCGTGTCCACAGCACATGAGCCCGTTACACGGTGAAGCAGAACATCTATAAAGATCAGCCCTAGATAATTAGATGGACTGAAGAGAATGGATGTCTTTCATGTGCATTTCTATCTATTTTTCCTCCATCTCCCTTTGCGTTTGTTTGTCAGTGCGGTTTAAGGCACCCTTCATAAAGAACTGGCCTTGTTCATGCCTGTATGCGGTTGGTTGGTTGGTTGGTTGGTTGCAATTGTGCAGAGATATTGTACCGTCAACGCTTTGCGAGAAACATCAATTCCCATTGTACGGCGTGGAGGGATAACTTCGAAGCCATGGCACACCTAACACCTGACATCCTGACGGTGAACCGTCTATGAAGATGCTAACTCGCGTGGGTTGTCGGGCAGTAAGTTATAACGCCCCAAGAACAATTCGCCAGTTTCTTTACACGGTCATTATCAGCATCATCGAGTCGACGAATCCACGCAAGCCGTACGCTTAACCGTACGCTTAACAGCCTCGCCACTACCACAACGTCCACCCACTGACTTAGCCCGGGTAATATGAGAAGCTGGAACGTCGAGACACTGTTACCGGTGACGGCGTCCTAGCCGCCTGGGAACCGTTCTCGCTCCCGTTATGCCGTTCCAATCTCAGAGAGAAAAGCGACAGACACTCAATACGACAAATACAAACGTCCCGGAAGTTTTCTATTCTCCTCCCAAAGCAGTTACTGTGTCCGGTATACCAAATACCTATCTCAAACGCAGTACTTCACAATGCCTAATACTCCTATCCCAACTTAATACCGTCAAGGCTATCCCGCCAGCTGTGCCAGACACCGCTTTTAACAAGTGTGCCGGGTTCATGAGCGAGATGAATCATGAGGCCACCGGTAGTAATAGTAATAGTCCAGTGTATCACAATAGCTCATCCCACTGCTAGGCTTCTCCTAGCTTTCACCTGCGAGAGTGAGAAGAGGTAGATATACCATGTCGAAAATAACCCCAGAGCTTTCATTGCCATCACCATTGTCTACCAAACACCCAACCACAAGCTCCCATATCCCCACCCCCCTCTCCACGTGCCGTCGAGCATAATTAACATGTCACGGTGCAGATGTCACGACGAGAAAAAAGCAACCATAAGTAGTATCCAAGCCGGTTATCGGGTCTATTACGCTATACAATGAGGATAATGATGATAAGAAAATGGGGGAAGTAGATCGACAACTCAAATTGAGATCGTGTCAATGCTCTCTTGAGTCTCCCATCTCAGGCCATTGCCATTCACCGGGACTGCTATCGTCCCTCATCCAAAGCGTCCCAGTGAGGATAATGATGATAGGAAAATGGGGGAAGTAGATCGACAACTCAAATTGAGATCGTGTCGATACTCTCTTGAGTCTCCCATCTCAGGCCATTGCCGTTCACCGGAACTGCTATCGTCCCTCATCCCAAAGCGTCCCAGTGAAAGGATTCCAAGTATAACCCAGATCAGTTTTACAGGAATATAGTGCCCTCCCACTTCATACGTCCCCGTACCGGAGAGTTTGCGTCCCCAGCACCGCAAAATCACTAACCCGCCTGATCTCAATCCAGGTCTTTAGGCGGTCGTAGGTTTCCCGCCTGTTCCGGTTGTTGCCCGCATTGCTTGAACGTGAATAGCTTTCCCTGGGGGCCTAGAAGTGTGTACCCCGGAGGTAGCCGAAATCGGACTACCTCACCATCCAATCCCTCCACAGGTTCTGTAGAGAGCGAAGATCCGCTTCACAGACCATGTTTGCAGTGCTCTGGACTCCAGTGTTCCTAGCCGGGTATAAAGACACCCACGCATATTCCTCTCGGCTGCCTAGTCGTCACAGACGACCGCCGAAACGAATGACTGCATGACCCTACCGTCCGAAACACCGATCAACCCATCCGCCTGGGGGTACTCGACTCGGGTATTCCTGGTCCTCTAACGTCTTTCACCTACGGGTCACCACCAGTCATTGGCTCACCCAACCTATCAAAACGAGACCAACACGAGCAGCAACCCCTACTCATGTTGACTGACTGATTGATTGGATGAGCCAACGGCTTACGGGGAGCGATGATAAGTGAAAAGACGTTCGGGCCGGAGGATAGTGAGGCCCACGTATAGTGGAGGCCAGACCCTTTCGATCGCACGCGTCGGGACGGATGAACAAGTAGGCGTTGCTTCCTTCAGGGGCATTATCGGAATTTGGGGTAAAAGCAGGCAATGCCGAAGCTGGATGATTGCCAGGATCGTGGTATTTCTAGCCTTGGGATACACGCAGGCAGCATGCACTGCAATAGCGCTGCGAGGTGTAGGTAGTACCAATAAGGGGGGCACTACGGTCAGCCCCTTAGCCTCCGTCGTAGTACTGATTCACGAACTTGGGGCCGGCGCCGGCGGGGGCGGGGGGGGGCGCGCGCGGGGGCGTGGCCGGGGGGGGGGGGT